GCGTTCACGCAGAGGTACTCGTCCATCCACTCACTCCCAGTTGACAGACCAGACAAATAGCCAACAAGCCCGTCAGTAAGAATGGGACGAATACACATGCCCCTTCTCACCGGGTCGATAGTGGCAGTGGGTCTGCACGTTCTTAGGGCTTCATCCAACTCCTGCCACCTCTTCACCACAGTCTTTATCCGCTCCAGCTCCGTAGTCACGTGCACAGCAACAAGACCGTATGACCCCTCACTCTTATTCTCGTACAGCGAAATCAGATCGCCCCCACTGCTATACAACAGGGAACTGGCAGCAGCGTCATCAGCTGCATCGGATATCGGCCCAGCATCATGCACACGTGCACCGTCCGTCACCCAAAGATAAAGCCGACCCCTACCTTTTTTCTCCTCCAAATACACCGGCGTGGTAACAAGCAGCACTTCCCTTCCCTCAATGGTTACGGTGGTGAGGCCACAGCGAACGCCATACCCTTTTCGATCATACGAGTTGCCCCACACGCGACTAATTGGCCTACCACTCATTTCCCAACGTATCCCAGAGTCAATGGACCTGAATACTTCGTAGTAGCCGGCAGCGCAAGAAGTAATTAAAATTAGATTTCCTTCCAAATTCGCGATGGATGGCTCCTTGCAGTTACTACCTGTCGTACCGGACGAGAGCTCCCATGCTTCTATACGCATGTTGAAACGCATGGACAGTACAACACTCCTTCCATCCTTTTCTACTGCCTGCATGGGAAGCACAAGGTAACCGTTCTTCGTCACAACACCCGATCCTCCGCCACCAATCACCCTCTTCAGGAATTGAGTAAGCCCGATGGCCACAGGGTCCACTGCACGGATATCACCCCACATGATTTTCTTCTGCCCACCATCCTCAGTGAGAGTTCCCCTCGTCAGTAAAAGCCTCCAGCCATCTGCATCGGCAGCCCGACCCCCAGACGTCTCCTTCTCGTAGTCCCCAAGGGCCATGTAGATACTGTCGCCGCTCACAATTGTCGTTGGCTGCATCTTTTCTTGTGCCCTGGTCGTACCACTGGCGGCATCCACAAGTTCTACGAGAGAAACGCCTGCATCCATCGCCGAGATCGCCTTTGAGCCACCACCGCCCGTCTCAATGTGCGTTGATGCAATCGCAGCATGGCCGCAGGCTCCGTCCCTTTCACTGCACTGAGCTTCAGCAACGGCAAACACACCGCCGGCCACCTCAGCAAGGCTGGGAACACGAAGCGAGCCGGCTGCCGCCTCAGATCCAGTCATTTCTTGCCATTTATAGGGCGCCGGTTTCGTTCCCTGAAAAGGATCAACGGCCTTCCCTTCCCCGCTACTTCCATCACCGGACGCAGCTTCACGGACACCGCAGCACATCATCACGACAAGGAGGAGGAGCAGCACCGCCGAAGTAGACACACGCCGGGACATGTTGGGCCTCTGCTGCTCACTCTCTCCTCCTTCCCTCCTCCTTCCGCTGGATCCGGTCACGCCGCGACGGTTGTGTGTGCGGGGTGCCTTCACTGCAGCAACACGTGAGAGCATATAAATACGTGTGTGTGGGCGGTGTGTGTGACGTTTGTCCTTTCAGAGCCTTCGAATTTCACAGTAGCGTTTAGCGCTTGGTCGTAACCTTCTTCCTTCGTGTGCGTGAAAAAGTAGAGAGAGAAGGAAGCATGCCAAGCAAAGAGACAAGACAGTGAGCACAGCCACCCATCCACACTGTGAGTGGCACCATCATCCCCGCCGCAGCCACTCCCAACAACAGCAACTCTCACACACAGACTCACGGAACAGGAGAAGGAAGAACAGTGCACCGGGAACACGCAGCGACTGTCGCCACCACCAGCAGGAGCCACGGCGGATGCTTCTCCCACGCGTCAGCACACACCGAGGAACGCCCACACAAGAAACAAACGGCAGGACGCAAAAGGACACAGCCGCCCTTCGCACCACCCATGCGCTGCCGCCAGCCTTTTCACTGTTGTCTCCGCCACCGCACGTGCCGCACCGTCTCCCACACGCCCCAATTAACTCCCGGTCCCTTCCCCTCCGTTGCTGGACATCACCCCACACAGCCGGAAAATCCCCAACAACAAATCCACAGCGGGAAAGACGCGTCGGCACGCGAGGCTGCAGGGCGGGAAGCAATCCGCACTCATCCCAGACACCCTCAACACCACACCACTCACCGGCCCGCACGCCGCCACCCGCACGCCCGCAACACGTCAAGGGGACGGAGCGCAGGCTACTGTCCTCCCTCCTCGCAAAGCACCGGCGACTCGCAGCACGCCAGAGACACCCACCCAAAGCTGCGGCTCCCATGCGTCACGTGGCCACATCAGCGCCGAAAGAAATCACGGACTGCCATTCCTCCACCGCTAAAAGCAAATGTCACCGCTGGCACAGCACCGCAGCACGCAGAGGGCACAGAACAGCAGCACACGGCCAGCCATCATCATCATCGCCATCATCACGGCTGCAGACACACAAACACAAAGCAAAGAAATTCATGTCAGCTGCGTGGACTAAGAGCCGTGCACGTAAATTAGCCTCACCGCAACAAAGTGGCATCCCTGCTGGGCCGGCATCGTCCAAGTGCATAATGGCCAGCGCATCTTCTGGTCGCAGCATCGAGAGCATCCCAAAACGCAACCACACAGGTGCAAAGAAATCCGCACCTGCCGCGGTACTCGAAATCGCCTGCACCCCCGGCGGCGCCACGCCAGGCGGCAACGTCCAGCCACATCGTTCGTACTCGTTGCCAAAGGCGGTCGCCTAGCCGCAGCTCTCTGCACCCTCCCGGTCCGTGGAAGAACGACGCGGCAACTCCCCAGCTGCGCGCCCCCGGCTGAGGCCTCGTTCCCGAGCCCCACAAGGAGATACCACGCAAAAGAGAGGTGGCGGTTTGGCTCGACACACACCCAGCAGCCCCCACACCTCGGAGGAGACGCATCAAGCACGCATTGCACACACACACACGCTGAACACACGAATGCAAGCTTCAAGAAAAGAAAAAAGAGACAAACGTTTTATGAGGCACCAGTTGGTTCGCTGCAAGGTCGCGGGGTGGCAGCCTTTGCGGCCCCGCAACCGCCGGGCCCCTCTCCGCGTGGCGGGCGGCAGGGTCGGGGCGGGGCGACGGCAAAATAAATTTAAAAATGCACCTGCACCAGCCGCCTCCCAACACTTTTTTCTTTTCTTTTGAAGGCAAAAACAAATTCATTAAGAAATGGAGTGGGCCGGAAAAACGCGTCGTCTGCCACTCGGCCCCGTCTGGCCACACATCCATCCCGCTGGCCTTTGCTCTAAAATACAACACGCGCATCGCAATCGCTCCCTCCTCCCTAAAAACCCCAAAAAATGACAAAAAAAAAATAAACAGCGCTGGGGAAAAGTGTGCGGGGCGCGGCCACTCACATGTCACATCCGTTTCACCCTTTTTTCCTCCGCTTTCCACCAAATAAATCCAATGGCCCGCACGTCTGCCCCCACCGCCGAGTGGAGTCCTTTAAAAAAGAGAGACCCCCGGCACCCGCAGAGGGCGTTGCGGCAAAAAAAGTGAAACACACACCCGCCACGCATCCGCCCCGGGCCGACGCGGCGGCTCGACAATCCGTCGCTGCCGAGAATCAATGAAATATCAGAGTTTTCACCGTCGCAACTGCCCCCGGCCCGAGATGAACGACGCCACATACGCAGCGGGAACGGGATGCAGAGGCAGGGCGGCCAAACACATGGGGAGGAGCGCTGTGCGCACACAGACACCAGCAGATGTTTCCAAATAGGACCAGCACGTAGAATCAAAGATGCAAAAAAAAAAAGGCTCGCACACGGGTAGAGAATGCACACACACACACACACAGAGAGAGAGAGAGACAAAAGAAAAAAAAAATAGCATCATGCACAAGAGCAGCCGCTGAAGTGTCGGGTGCGGCGAGGCGTCGCATCTCCCGCTCCTCGGGCCCTCTCGTGTCAAAAAAAAAAAGAGGGCTCCTGCGAGACGCACTGCGTCCGCCCCTCCAACCATTAAATACCTTATTTTTTATTCCCTCCGCCGGGCACACACACAAAAAGAAATAAATGGCAGAGCTCAAGAAAGAAAGAAGAAAGCGGATGAAATTCGAGACGGCATAGCGGCCCAAGGAAGAAAGCAAAAAAAAATTCACTAAACAATCGTTTTTTGAGAAGTAAAAAGAAAAAAATGTAAAAATTTTGATTCAACGCAATTCTCATTTATACTCAGAAATAAATAAAAATCAAAACAAGTCAATAAATACAACTTTTCGCAGAAGATCCTCGTGGGACCTCTAAAATTCGTGTGTCTCTTCGCCCTTAAGAAGAAAACATACACATAGATACATACAC